TCGACCTGATCGTCGACGCTGACGTTGACGTCGACGCCCCACGCTTACGTCAAACGTCGCTATTACGTCATATTACTGTCGCCTTGACGTCGCATGACGTCAACGTTAACGTCGTTTTGACGTCGTGTGTTGTCGTCAACGTCGAGGTCTACGTCAAAGCGACCTTAATATAAAATCATTACAAAATCTTGACGTCGTATAACGTCGTCGCCTTCGCCAACGTCAACTTTGGCGCGGTGTCACGACGAAGTCCTGACGTCGTGTAACGTCACCGTCTTCGTCGACAATGACGTCGACGTCGTCGTGACGTCGAGTTGCGTTATGTCGACAACGACGTCGAGGACCTGACGCCAAGCGTCTTTATGACGTCGCGTTGACGACAAGAACGCCGTCGTCTTTACGTCGCGTGACGTCGTCGCCGTCAGCGTAAACGTTGACATCTACATCGTTGTCAACGCGATATGACATCAGAACGCAGTCTTGATGCCGAGTAACGCGCGTTTTCAACGTAGACTACGATGTGGACGTCAAGGCGTCGTCGTGATGTCGCATGGCGTTGTGACGAAACGTCAGGTCGCGGTGGCGTTATGTATTGACTTGACGCCTCCATGTCTGGTCGTATAAAAATATAGACCGTGGCATTATTGTTTCTATGGCCTCCACCTTCGTGCCGGTCGAGCAAGGCATTAGAACGCAACGCTTTTTCTTTCATAAGAAGGGGCGGATAAAATATATTCTGTATTAAAAATCATCTGCGCACTTGGTCAATAGCTTATATTGTAAAGCTCGTCTACTTATTGCTTTTGTAAATCCGAGTCACTTCGCTCGTTGTGCCCTCAAATTCTTTTTTCACATGCGGAGCTTCAGAAATAGCACTCCGGTGGCCCTACTCAACAACGTGCTTCTTGTTTCTCTTTTGACGGTCTCGGTGGCCGAGTGGGCTGGCTCACACCAGCTCGGAGTACTTGGAGCGAAAGTTCGCGCTGCAGAACCCAGGGATCCGGGGTATGATCCACACCCCTGCCCGTTTCGATCTGAATGAGCAGCGTACCGGCGTGCGGTCGTGCATCTTTACTGCGCGGTGCACGTTAAAGACCGCAGGCTAGCGGCTGTACTGCACTGTCGAGAAAAACTTTCGCTAAGTTTGCCGGGAAAATTTTCTGCTAAATTTAGCGGTAAACTTTTACCCTCGTGACGTCACGATCAGCATGTAAATTTCACTTGTGACGTCACACGTGACACGTGACGTCACAAGTTTCGCTGGTTTACCGCTCTAAGTTTACTCAAGCTCGTTGGTGGCGAGTGGCCGAGTGGGCTCGCGCACACCAGCTCGGAGCACGCGGAACGAACGCTTGCGCTGCAGAACTCAGGGATCCTTGGTTCAATCCCCCCATCCCAGCCCGTTTCGATCTGGATGAGCATCGTACCGGTGTGTGGTCGTGTATCACTACTGCGTGGTGCACGTTAAAGACTCCAGGCTAGCGGTTGTACCGCACTCGCTAAATCTCCAGCTGGGAGACAAGTCGCCCGTTGAGGCAGACTAAACTCTAGGCTGAATAAACATACACACACCCCGATTTATTTTTTTCGTTGCGGCGGATGAAAGTGATGTCTTGATTTTGGATTTGCCTGGCTTGTGATGGCTGATCATAGTCATCAAATTGTATTTAAATTTGGATTAAAGCTCGTGACTGAGCACAAGGATGTGGGGTAACGTGTTTTTTATAAGACGCCGAAGTTATTTATGAAAATATGCGCTTGCACTATAATATTTTGCGTGCCAATTACTTTACCCATCGTCATTGCAATCATTTTGGAGTCACAATAAGTTGTCCCGTGTAGCACCAACCACTGCACCAACACACTTGGAATGTGTTTCGACGGGTTGAAGTGCACTCGCTTGAAGTGCAGTAAACTAGCCCGTCTGACGGGTATAAGTTCTAGGCTGTATAACACAATTTTTTTTTTCAGTTATTTTTTGTCATCAGCGAAGCGCCGATGTAGTGCTGCTCACCTGTCGACAGCTACTTATCGTCTGCAATGTGCAACAATTTTGGCGGTGCGACACAGAACTGGTGAACCCTCCCGCCAGTACGCGCCTAACGCGAGGTCAGCACTATGCTTGTAGCGCTTCGCTGCATGTGTGAACAGCCCTTATTTGTGATTCACTGCAAGAACAAGAAAGAAAAACGGGAAAATTTTTGACACATGAATTCTTTGCGTGAGGGACAGAACCAGCACCACTTTTCCTGAACTCCTCAACCTCGAATTTCAGCCACCTTTCAATCTAGGGCACACGTGCGGGTCGTCTGCTACAATTAACATAAACGTTCTGATATTTCAGAGAATTAGTACGGTTTAAAAAGGTACAATAATCGTAAGGGATTTTAATTAGAACAAGACAAGCTCTAATTAACGAATCGTTGTTTAAATAGCCGTCCTCTTCTCTGAAACTTGTTTCTTGCGCACAGAGTCGAGCTTTATATAGTTCCATGATTTAAAATTATCTTAAACAAATCTGAATACGAATACAACGAAACCTGCCTTAAAAGGAAACGGTTTAGTTCCTATACCATATAACTAAACAAATAAAATCAGGTGCTAGAATGCCATCTGAGAACAGCAAGAATGCGCGAAGGGAATCTTTTGAAATTTTTTCAGAATCAAGTGCATGGTGTTTACGAAAACACTGCTGTCGTTGCACTTATCATATTTTTGTTGAGTTCCTATGTTTACCAGGGGCAAGCTCAACGAGATCATTAGCTTTTTTGAGGCTGAAGCTCTATTTGGCCCCTGCTTCGACAAAATTACTGGCCTATAAGGCCCGCTTCAGACAAAGCAATTTCAACCAGCAACTTGACGTCGCAACACCAGCAACACGGGCCGCCCGCGTTCACACGCAGCAACCGAATTGCTCCGACTTGCCATCATCATCATTAAATTTGATTTTTCTTTCATTATTTAGACGCCCAGCTACGCGCTAAAAACGCGTTCTTATATCTTTGAACGGCGTTGAGAATACTAACTAATTTTTCTGAAACTGTTTATTTCCGAAAACGATCCATTTCAAATCAGAGCTAAGTCTTTAGCTGTCATCATCGCCACCACAGGGGTGTCACGTAAAAATATCGCGTCTTTGATTGGCTGCAGCCGCTTCAACCGTCTTCGAATTGCTCCGAGTTGCTCGCTTGTTCGAGCCGGACCCGATCTCAGCAATTCGCGTCGATCTAGGGAAAGCTAGGGAACAACCCGCCAGCAACCTCAAAATTGCTGGAAAAGTTGCCCCGTCTGAAGCGGGCCTGAAGCAATAATTTGACCCAAATTTGAATACGCGAGCGTTGTGTGGAATCCACATCAAAATTAACTAATATCAAACCTAGAATCAAGTCAAAACAAAGCTCACCCGGTTCACCCTAAACGATTATTCTCCAGAAGGTAGTGTCTCCGCCTTAAAATAAAGACTTGGTTTTGCTTCCATAAGCCACACGACGCAAAATTAATCGCATGTGTTTCTCCATCAAGTTTACCATAGTAATTCACAGTTCAGAAATATTTACTGTCAAAAAGCCAATTATATTTCTTCTCGAAAGACAACACTTGTAAACTCCTTCAATTCCGTTGCAATAATAACTCATTCATGTTTTCTCTCTTAATATTGTCTATTACAGAATGAAATAACTTGCCAGATCATGTTGTAACCAACTTAGATATTACAGCGTTTCAAGAAATGTGCGTGCTTTTGTTCAATGGGTAGGGAATGTCTGATTATGTATATATATATATATATATATATATATATATATATCTTGTTTTCTTTCTGGTTAGATGAGATGTGGTTGTGTTAGTGTTCTTACGTTCTTTTTTGTATTGTAGTCCCATTTATTGCCACCCCTCTCATGTAATGCGTCCTCAAAAGACGCTCTTGAGGTAAATAAATGAAATGAAATGTTGCTGCGTTATAATGTGAAACTGAGTTACGACACTTCAAATTCATATTTCATGAATAAACAATAAAAATGTGAGTACAATATTTAAGAAAAAAGAGTAAGTATATAACCGCCCGATTCCTTTATCAATTCATTAAAAAAAAGTGAAAGCCGTTTACAACTCCCTGTAACGCCGAATTGGAGCGCAGCTCTTGAGGAGGAGGAGGGAAGGGTACTAAGGGAGGGTAGACCCCTCCTCCTCCTCCTCCTTCTCCTCCTTCTCCCCTCATTCTTTAATATGCTCCGGGGGGTCACCTGACCTCGGGGGGGGGGGGGAGGGGGTCACGTGACTTCGGGAGTGGGGGTGGAGGGGGGGTTACGTGACTTCGGGTAGGGGGGTCACGTGGGGGTAACCTTGGGGGTTACGTGACCTTGAGGTGACCTTAAGAGGGGTCACGTGACCTGGGGGTCACGTGACCTTGGGAGGGGTTACGTGACCTTGGGGTAACCTGGGGGTCACGTCACCTTGGGTGACCTTGGGGGTCACGTGACCTTAGGGTGACCTTGGTTACGCCGACGGTGACGGCGACGGCGACGCCGCTCAAGCCGGAAAAGGGCGCCTAAGAGCTGCGCTCTAAAATAAGAACGCGACTTGGATTCATTACAAGTTCAGAAACTCTGAATGCGTGGAAGCATGCCTTGAAAATATGAAAACTTGCACTTTCTTTTATTATTGTGCGTTAAGTTTTCACAAATGCATGTCATATTCTGCACTAAGACACTGATGATGAATTGCCCGATTATTTACAAAAAAAACACTATACGTGGCAAGCGCACAGGCGCGACATTCTCACTGCAAACAGGAGCGTTACCACAGGTTGGCGCCGAGGGAGCCTAAGTGGTAAATTTTGGTACCTGCCAGTACCTTTTCGAAGTAAAATGGGAAAAAGTGCCGAAGTCGTGTTTGTGCTAACAATGTGTTGCAATGCATCTCACGGAGCGAGGGGGGGAGAAGGGGGTGAAACTGAGGATGTGAGAAAAAAACGCACAGGAAAACAAAATGACACACGTCAACGAATACACGATCTTTATTAACGCTATTTATGAAGTGTGTGCATTTGGTTCATCTTTTGTTAGTGCAGCGACACTTACACATTTTTTACATTCACACGGTAGCGCGCGTTTTTTTTTTTTTTTTTTCAAAATCTAAAAAGAAAGCAACCAACCCTGGTCCCAAAGGTGCGTCGATTTATTACGTTATACAAACACTAAGAGGCCAGGTTATATTGTTTTTTGTTGTTTTTTTTGGCTTCGTGCTGTTCGACTGAATATTTAATAGTAGCATAAAGCCGACCCAGAACAAGAAGTGGTGGGGAACAATCCAAGAAAACAGAACAAAATCATCCCCCAAGTTGAAAGCTGACGGGCACCCGAAAATGTTTTCCCAAACACGCACTTAGAGTACGCTTTCAGAGGAAGTGGTTTGATGCAGAGGTTAAAAAGCAAACGTATTTCGATCCTCGTCATTGGTAGACAATGAGAAAATTTCAATCTGAAGAAAATGTGCCCTTTATTAATTTTCAAATAAATGATGTCATAAAATGATAAACTAGATATGAACAAGTTTGATTTTGGCGATTTCCCTTCAAGTTCAACGTCACCACAACAAGTGTATCAGACACCAAGCGAACATAAATATGTCTACAAGTTGAAAGTCACTAGAGTCATCTATTTGCAACTGAATGCTTAGCCTGATAATAGGTTTCTTCAGTCAAACTTAGTAGTGTCTCTTTCCGCTATACTCTGTCTGACCTAAACATGGAGTGCAGGGAGGGCTCTAAGCACAAGTCCTTGCCTTTAAGTGCGCCTGGACTGCGCAAACACTGGCGCAACTGAGCGCTCGTGCAGTAACAGCATCAGTTAAAGACAGACGCTCTTGCCTAAATCGTTTGCAGTGTGTCCACGTCAAGGCGAGACGAAATATCGCGCGTTCCTGAGAGAAGAAAACCGTGTTTTTCGGCACGGGTAAATAAACTATACATTGTAGAAAGATCAAACCCCGTGAGAATGTGACGCTAGTGGTTGGGATACAACGTGAAAGATTGAAAACATGACGTTACCCGGACCAAAATATTATTGACGAATACCTAGTTTTTCTATGAGTCGACGTCCAGTCAAGCGCAATATTTCCAAGACAAGAAATTCCATTGTAAGCTCGTTTAACATGTACTATCGCAGAAAGAAAAATAACAAGAATAGAATACCCCTTTCCTTGCTAGCAAGTGTTTTTCACTGAATTGGATGCTACTGTCACGTTTTATTTGCGTTTTATTCAAACCGCTAGCGCCATATTCTCACGGAGGGTAAGCTTTCTGTGATAACTAAGTTATTTAACCGAAAAAACAAAAAACAAAACACGGTTCTGTTTTCTCGGGAACACCTATATCATAGATGCCCTTTCCAATGTGCGCGACTTCCCGCAGCTACTCCGAGGTCGCCATAATTTGGGTCCTCACTTCAAGCGTTGATTGGACACGAATACGGGTCTCTAGGACACGAGTGCTGCGTGAGTGCTCGGGGTGAACTCGGACCCAATCATCACTTCGTGCCGGAAGCGATGGCGAGAATGCGGCAGCCGCCAGTGTTTCTTGATGGACCTTTAAAACGGGTCTATTGTCTAAAACCTTTCTAACCAAGAATATGCGTCTGCAAGTTTGACCTCAAGCATCAACAACTCCCCAAAGAACATTACATTTGAAGCCATACCGTCCCTTTCACTAGGGAAGGCTAAGTAAAAAGAAAGCGGTATTATTAGTAGAGTCCTCACAACTCGAATGTTTTGCACTATTAAGCTGCATGCAGCAGCTCCGCCTTAGGACTTCCCTTAGAAACGTGATTCTGTGCATCCACTCTTCGATACATCACAAGGAAGTGAAGAAGAAGCAACCGCCCATGACAGTAGGAAGGAAAGAAACACGAGACCTGCCCTCGAGTACATAACGCCGGAACTGTCGCAAGGCATGTGTTTGCGTGGCGAGGGTCAACAGCAAACGAAGCTGCGTGTCTGGTCCCTGTGACGAGTTAAAGGCAAGCGTTATCGAGAAAAATAGAACATCAAAAGCGTTGAAGAAGAACGATAAAACAACAACAGCGTATTCAACCGTATATAGTAACAATCTGTGTAATGGCGAAAAAGACAGAAAACATTTGGTATGTGACTAGGCGGGGAATGCGAACGATATCGCGCCTGAATGACGTGTTTTACAAACTGACAGAGCGATAGTTTAACTCGAATTTTCTGTTTATCGTATATTTTCTGATAAAGGAAACTACATGAACTTACTTAGCTGCCTGACGGAAGTGAACCGGTTGGCTACATTATTTTGGCAATATGGGATCTGGAGTAGATTCTCCGCTTCCAGCATGGGCTGGTGGCCTCTATCGTGTCTGGCTTCGCGTGCGCCAAAGTGTTATAGAAGGTGGAACGCTCGCACTGGAGGGAGCATCTACCGCTGATCTTAGGTTGCAACAGACTATAGCTACGCGTTACATACCGCAAGCAAGCTGAGCTAACGTGAGTTCACGTTCAGCGTTGACGAAGCACAGACAAAAATTCTCCCACATACAATGGTTTGTCTAAAGAACTTCAGATAAACCATGGTATGTTGGCTGGTACCAATCCGCTTGTTGGCACTCAAATTGGCTCCAGGTTTTACCAACAATTGCGACGAACATTTTGACCCGCTTTAGTTTCGCTTGCTTTCGACGCTTGGCCTTTCTTTTGAGATATCTTCGACAAGGGTTTCCGATTTCGCGCTGTGTGCATTTTGACGTAGAACCGAACATTGATGTTTTAGTGCGCCTAACGCGTGCTAAAACCTTCTAGCTAACTTTGTGTTTGCTAGGAAGTTACTTCCTTACAAAAGCCATGCGTTGTGCGTCCACGTCATGTGAGTAGCTCAGTTAAAGTATTATCACGTTGTTAGCACTTCTGTAGCACACAAAAACAGAAAGGGAGCAAGTATAATAATAAATAAACCCTCGGTTGCTTTGGTGATTAAAAGGCCTATCTCGCCATCACCCGCATGTGGTATCAAAATGCCACTCGAAAGTTTCTTGCGGAATAAGCAAGAACGCATTGCAATGTCCATGCAATATCTCAGCGTCCTCAATAGCATTGCAAATTAAATACCGTAACGAGATGCGCATATTAATTGATTTTCTAGAGTAAAATCATGCAACCATTGCGAAGCAATGATGCTGTGCTCGAAGATGACAATGCAAGAGCTAATCAACCACCCGAGGTTAGAGTGCCCGCTCTCTTGACATTCGTGCTCTCCCGCACTTTCATAGCAAAACATTGTAAATGAATTGAAAGACAGCGATATATACGCAACTCACGACTAAATGTGAAGGTGATGTCAAACACTCTACGAGTGAACATGCATTCCACTCCACTTTTTTGCAATAAACAGCGCGTCTACAGCCACAGATTCTCCCTTAGCGGTAGGGACGTCGTGCGTCCACGAACGCATGTGCACCGCGCTGTCCACGCTGTTGCACAGTCGCGCGACGTCGAGGCAAAAAGTTATGGCTGGCGCAGCGCGACACTGGGTTCGCCAAAAACAGCCCAAAGGAAAAACCCCAGGGTGCGGCGCATCCAGCCGTTCGATTTACGCAAAACCTGTACGCGCTAAGGTCTTTTGGGTTTTGCAGAGTGAGATGCATTCCTCCAGTAAAGTATTCAGTGATCGTTATGAACCAGGGGAATTACAAGCGGGTAGACAGAAAAAAAGGAACCGAATCCTAACAAGGTCCGTGTCCTTGGTCACTTTTTTCTCTTTATAATTGATCGAATAGAAGGTAATGAACGCGCCAAGCTCATCATTATTACGTAAATATTCAAAAAACAACTGCGCCTAGTATCGAAGTTAGGCATTCTCCTTCGTGGTGCTTCTTTGAACGTATTGAAATACAACATAAATTATACTGGAAAGAGAGCTTGTCAAGATTGGAGTTGAACATGACGTGATATTACATTTTTGCGGCAGTAAGCTTCCTTCCATTTGTGTTCACGCGGTGTAGACAAAGCACAGCACTCACTCTGGAAAACACTCTTCTATATTCGACTTACACCTAAAAAAACGCTCATGTTGTCCCTCTATCCTCTAATGGCAAGGCTTTTCGATTTTAGGAGAGTAGGCCACATTTTAAACACGCAAGCACTCCTACAACGGTGAGTGGTACTACTCTAGTAAACATTTTCCGCAAGTAATTTACTATGTATGCTGCGTCATTGTTTATTTGCAAGGTGCATGATATTTAAAAGATGTGTAACGTTGTAGCGAACAGGAAATAAAAACGATGACGGTAAAACAGATTTGCGAATAAAAGTGTATGTGTTGAACTATGTTTGTGCACTGCGTGTTTTCTCGCTGTATTTTGTTCACGTTCGTGTGTACAAGGTTTGTCGACCGCGGAACCTTGGCCTGAAAGTTCTCCTAGATGTTCCAGTCATTTAGTTTTTTTTTTGTGTTTTTTTTTTTTAATTTTCTTATTCGATCAAATAAGATGAGAGGACGCATTCCTGCAAATATGAAGACGCTTATTTAGCATAAAGTTGACATCGCGTTGAGATCAAATTTATATCTCTTAAAAATAGATTCATTAATTGAAAAGATTATTGGTAGATCATAAAAATGACGTGGGATATTTATTGCAAAACCCACCCTTAACTTTACGTGGACTTGTCTTGGTCGCGCAGAAGAGACAGGCCCATAGTTAACAGGACTCTTAAAAGCGTTGCGACTACAATCTTTCAACTCTACGTTGAAAGAAAAAAATTTTAAATCTTCTAATAATTTGATGCAATCACTACTGGGTTGTTTTTTTCTTCGCGAAGTAAAAAAAGAAAAAAAAAATTGTATGGTGTTCGTATACAAATATTTTAAAGGTCCGTGCAACGATATTTACTTGAAATGTGCCAGTAGACAGATGAGAATTCCTGCTGATCGGAATTCAATGCAAGAGACTTCAAGTCTTTATGTGCGCGACTTTGGTTCCCGTATGACTGGATAAAATGAAAGACAAACAATATGGAATGTTTTTGTCCATATCAAAGTAGGATAGAGCGCAGAGTAAGATAGTAGCGAACACGGTAAATAGAAAATACCAATTGGAACATACTCTAAAAAACGATGAGTACCTCATGAAACGAAGGCACTATGCTATTTGAACAAAACAAACAGACTTTTTTAAAATTAAATCCACGAACAGCATGGCAGTATGGTCTTAACAGGCCATCTATCGAAGGATACGAAGAACATACGGCCACCTAGCTGGAAACACGGCTAACTTCCTGAACAATTTCCGTGAAACATGCAGAAACACTAGGATCTTCGAGTTTAAAAGATAGGTTCGCAGAATATTTAAATGGTGCCCTTGTTCTGACTGAACAAGCAGTGCCATGTAAACGTAAAGCTTGAAGTTTTATATGTAAAGGTACAAGAAGGGCGCGAAAACAACATGTTTCGAAACATTGAAGTAGTCCTAACGGCTATTTTTCAGTTCTGTAATCTCCTTTGTCCTTGTCACCACTTGGATGACACCATGTCGTAGGTACTTGCGCGTGCGGATAACGCCGACCGTTGCGGCCGAACTCCTTAACAATAGAGCAGTACTACGTTGGAGCAGGCCCTGTAACCACACATAACAAACTGTTGTGGGATGTTAGGTACTTAAGTGCCAAACAGGACCGAAAGAAGGATATGTCGATCAACTTGTCTGCTCTATACTACTACATTTATAATAAACTTGCCACGCGGCGAATAAGCGCATGCTATTTTTTCTTGCTTTGTATTTCTGACAAATATCTATTTGGAATAAAACAAAATCCTCGAAGAAAAATCTTTCTTTGCAGTGCGTACTGCGTTGGCTTTCGTCACCAGTCGCTTAAGCCTCATTGAACTGCATACGCCTTCTGAAATTGAATAGTCCATCGACATTACGAAATCCCGACACATATCTGGAGTGGAATCGGTACAATGAGCGTACCACATCAGCACAACAAATTAAACACCCACAGAAAACGTCCACGATGAAAGCAGAAGTCTGGATGATTGAAGCAACACACGTTAGGCGAGGACAACGGCGTGTCGACGCTTCTTCATAACGGCGCTTCGGCGGAGTTAGCTCTTGACGAAGCAGCCGTGGATGGAGGTGCAGGCACGGACGTCGGGAGGAACCTCAGCGCGGGCAACTTCGGTCAGCGTCTTGGCGTCCAGGACAAGCAGGAAGTCGGGCCTGGTGTAGTCCGTGTCGTTCACCACAGTCAGCAAAACGCCTGCGGTACCAACAGTGCAGTGTGAAGTGGTGGACCACAGCCTCATCTATGCAGCTCTCCACTGCTTATCGCACCAGGTGAAAAATGACTAGTTACAGGGTTGTGAACGACATCCCAGCGACGACTCGCGCCCAGTGACGCCCATTGAGTGGGCGTCTGACCTTCCGCTGAAAAAATGGACTGCACAAGCTCAGAACGCGTTTCACAGCCCAATAAGCAAGGATGGCAGCGCGCGGAAGCCTTGTATTGGAATAGTTTAACAGCACATCGCGAAAAGAGCCAACCTAAATGGGCATAGGGAAAGAAACGAACAGAAATAAAAGGGGATTCGGGAACTGGCCGCTGGCGAGCTTTCCTTCAAGAGGTTATCTAACTGTTCGGGATAAACGTTTTTTTATTCCTGTCGATTAGTTGTGAGAAACGTGTACGCATCCGGTTGCGAAGAGGCTCTCCTATCACGCAGGTTGTAATTTTTTTATATAAATATTTGCGTTTAAATGCATCACCCTAGTTTCTTGCATATTAGGTAGAGAACAACTTAAAATTAAAACAGTGGCTGGGTGGCCCACTCCACCGCCCAATTAAAAAAGTATGCATTTAACCATTTATTCATTTATGGCGCTTAAGATGGCAATTAAGCATTTATATAAAGAAATGTAGGGCAGATTAGATTTACTAAAAAACAGGCCTGTCATTGACCTAATACAACATTCTATATCTCTTCACATTGAAGTCGAAACGCCAAACAACTATTTATGCGTTGTTCTTTTTCAAAGGATCTAACCTGGAACAAACATATTAATCACGTCCAATGCATCCAAAAAAAGCTTGGTTTCGTAAGGCAGACTGCGTCAGGCACACCAAGCTACAAGTCTGCTTCCTAATAAAACAATTGTAATACCAAAACTGGATTATGGAAACGTCTGGATTATGAAAGCGTCATCTGCAATCCACACCACTATCTCACCTTTCGAAGTGGTGTCATTAAAAAGTTAAGCCACCCGCTTTATCTTCAGTAACTACTCATACCTAGTCAGTGGGACGAGTTTAAAAGAAAAGATGGGATTGCCTTCTTTACAAATATGACGTAAATATTCTCGCTTGTTGTTGTTGTTGTTGTTGTTGAGTGTTGTTACACACGGGAAGAGGGGATGCCTGCACGTAATGTTAGCCTCCTTGGGCAGGGGCAAGACTCGCACAGGCGGGGAAAGAGGGTGAGAAAAGAAGAGAAGAGGGGTTGGGGGGTGATTTGGTCACCAATCTCTGGATGAGTAGGGTCGAATCAGGAGGCTATTTTCTTGAGGGAGAGGGGACACTGCAGAACTGTCTTCTGGTATGGAGATCACAAATTAGTCGATGACAGTTGAGACGAGAAGGCGTGGCTGGTCTAGGTGGCGGGCCGGTGGGCTAGAGGCGCGTTGCAAGTCCAGTGGCTTTGAGGTACTCAAGAAGAGATTTATAAACAAGTTCTCTTCTTCGTCGACCTCCGGTAGGAAAAAGGATTTCGTTCTTTTGAGTCACAGTTGTGCTTCCACTTAGGATGGTGGTAAAAAAGGACCGTCGAGCTTGATCGTAGTGAGAACAATTTAGGAGGACGTGGTCAAGGTCCTCTGGCACATTGCATTTGGCACAGTTGGGTGTACTAGACCTGGAGATCTTGTGAAGTGTCGTTGATGTGTAGGCGCAGTTTGCACGAAGGCGATGGAGCAGCGTGGAATCTGATCTGGTTAGTTTTGACTCGGGGAGCGATGGAGGAGGATTCCCGCTTGCAACTTCTGTATGGGGGTGACGCATTATGGTAATTAATTTGCACAGTCTGCGCGCTTCGCAATAACGTGGAATGAAAAGACTGGGTTCTTCTTCCTTGTGTGCCTTTGAAGCAAGGGCATCGGCGCGTTCGTTGCCGGGGATACCCATATGTGACGGAATCCATTGAAAAGCCAACTGCCACCCTCGCATGCAAAGTTTTCGGGCCTTGTCGGCCACACATTGGGCCAGAAAAGGAGCTTGGTCTGAAGCTTCCAAATTGGATAACGCACTTCGAGAGTCGGAGAGAATAACAGTCTTGCAAGGATTGAGGTTGTGAAGCGCATCTAATGCCGCTGCTAGTGCAGCCAGCTCCGCTGTCGTGGACGTGGTTGCGAAGTTGAGGCGGTGTGATGCTTCGATTCCGGCATCGGGAATGACGAATGCCGCTGTAGATGTTGCAGTTGTGGGATTCGTTGACCCGTCAGTAAACACTTGGAGCCAACCATTGTACGTGCTTGTCAGTTGGTCAGCTACAAGCGACCTTCCAACAGTGGCTGAGATAGAATTCTTCTTCGGGAAATAAGGAAGCGTTTCTTCTACAATGTACAGCGGTTGGGTTATGAAAGGTGCCGGAGGAAAGTAATGGCTATTAGGAGGTCCAATTTGTAAATTAAATTCTTGTACACATCGACCTATCTGCGAATCAAACCGCTCTTCAATGTTGGACAGCAGTGATGTCGCAGATCGTGCTCCATACATACGAGTGATATGATTCATTGCTCTTATTCTTATATGCATAGCTACTGTTTGATCCTTGGCCTCTACGAGTGTCGCCGTATTGCCCGCGAAGCGTGGCAGTCCAATGCACTGACGGAGGGCAACACGGTGAAAACGTTCGAGTGTGGTCATTTGATGAGCTCTGATTCTGATGAGAGGTAGGCTGTATAACATTCTTGAGAGGATAAGGCCACGATAGAGAATCAAAAGTCCCTGAGGAGGCAGTCCAGATTTCTGGCGATGGAAGTGACGGAGCACAGTTAATAATTTAGTGCACTGCGTTACAAGTCGTTTTATCTCGGGTCTCCATGTAACGTGGTCATCTATTTCCATCCCCAAGTATCGGTACGTTGAGACTCTCTGGATCGGTATTCCTTTAATGGTTGGCGTATTTGCAACTTTGCGGTTTGGATGTCGACCAGGGCGGTAACAGAGGAAGGCTGTTTTGCTTGTAGATAAAGTAAGTCCTAGTTCTTCTAGAGTAGAAGTCGTGCTGTCAAGAACTTTCTGAAGCCTTTTGCCGATGGTCCTTGACAGTCTGGATGGACCGACACATCAAATTGCCACATCATCGGCGTATATCGTCATGTGAACTGTTGTACTGGACGTTTCTGCGGAGTTTATGCATAGCGGAAGTTCTGCCATGGTAAGGTTAAACAGAAACGGGCTCAGTACACTTCCTTGGGGAACGCCTTGGGTCACCGACCGACGAGTGCTAAGACATTCGGCAGCTCTTACTGTTAGGCTGCGGCCAGTGAGGAACGCGGCGATATAGTCATATGTTCTTCCACCAATTCCGTACCGTGTAAGTTGACGCAGAATGGTATGGTGTGGTAGGGCATCGAAAGCTTTGCATATGTCCAAAAATATGCAGTAGACTGTTTGGTGAGTTGAACGTGCATCTTCAAGGCTCGAAACGAGATCAGCAATGGCGTCAAAGGTGCACCTCCTTCTTCGGAATCCGCAGAGTTGATCTGGCAGTGCTCCTTTGGATTCAAGCAGCCACGTAAGTCTTGAAAGTACTAGTCTTTCCATTAATTTCCCGACACAACTGGCGAGAGAAATTGGCCGGTAGGATTCAATCCGATCACCGGGTTTTCCTTGCTTTCTGATAGGAACCACTACAGAGGTGAGCCATGCTGCAGGGATTTTTGCCGTTCTCCATATGTTGTTGATAGACTCCAGTAAGGCCTCTCTATGCGGGAAGGAAAGATTTCTCAGTGCTTGAAACGTTACGCCGTCCGGTCCCGGAGCGGTTCGACGGCGCGAGCGTCGGAGGGCAACATCAAGTTCAGTGATGGTGAAATCGGCGTCCATTTCTGAGCAAGGATTTGTTTTCAATGGAACTGGAGGCTTGTCCCTGTATCCCTGTGGGGGCGGAATTGGGGCAGCGAACGCATCAGCAAGAAGCTCCGCGGTTTCTTGAGTAGTGCGGCCTAGGGCTAGCGCTAATCCTGCAACGGGATGCTCGGGTTGCTTTTTATCTTTCAAGACTCTGACGATCCTCCATGCTCTCGAAATACCCGATGGGGAACCAAACGACTCACACAGTTGGTTCCACTGTAGGCGTTGGAGGCGCTTAGTATATCGTCGAAATTTGGCATCGATCTTGCGATGTTCATTCCAATCATCCAGATCGTCTGTTTTTCGGGCTCGTCGCTGCGCGCGGCGTCGAGCAGCCCTTAGGTTTAGGTACATGAGGTCGGGAACAGGCCGGGTGTATGGTACTCTAATGGTCTTTGTTGACAGCTGAATGGCTCGTGCAATCATGGCTGTTGTGTCTTCTGTCGTGCTGCCAGCTAGAGCAAAGTTCATGTGAGATCGGAATACATCCCAGTTGGTAACTCGAACCTCTCTGTAAGTTTTGTTTGTCTTTTTGGCAAACTTGCTGGTAATCATGATCGGTATATGATCACTGCCCCAGGAATCGGCTAGCACATTCCAATCTGCCAATATATCCGGGGACAGGAACGTCAGGTCTAATACACTGCGGCCAACTCCAAGTCTGATGAACGTTTCCGCACCGTCATTAAGGGCCTCTAAATGAAGTGAAGATGTCATACTATCAAGATCAAATCCTCTTCTTGTATTTTTGCGGTCACCCCATATCTTGTTGTGGGCGTTGAAATCTCCACAGAGTATAAGATGGCCTCTGCTTCTCTGCTTTACATCGGAAAGCTCTCCGACATCCCATTTGCAATTTGGAGGGACATACACTGAGACGACTGTGAAGTCCACGTTTTTGTATCTAACAGATACAGCAGCATATTCAGCACTACTCTTCGAAACTGAAGATAGGTCTACTGGCGATTGAGGAAGGCCGGCGCGAACAAAGACTACAGATCGTGGCTTGCAGTCCTTCCTTTTTGTAGAACTGTAATAGGCTACGTAGGGCGACAGGCGGCAGTTGGATGGATCGTTGTTAGGTTCCTGAATCGCCAGTATATCAATCCTAGTGGAGAGTAGATGCCTCTGAAGATCTGGAAGGCGGGGATTTAGGCTGCAAGCGTTCCACTGTAGTATTCTTGGAATTTCGGGTTTATCGTTTGTACGTTTCTTGAAGTTGTGACTTTGAGCCGAGGCCATCCGCTCCTAGCGGTGGAAGGGTCCTGCTTTCAAAAAGGATTCCATTGCAAGCAGGGCTTGCACTTCTGGTAGGTTGTCTGAATCAGGGATCGCTTTGATGATGGCCCTTAACGCAGCAAAAAGCATTGGAATAAGGACGCTACCAAGGTCACCAGCCTGCTCTTGTCGTTTGCGCCTTGGAGCTGATGATACCGACATAGGTTGTCGGATGGTCGTCTGAGTGGTAGGGGCTGATTTCAGTAATTGCATAGTTGACGGAATTCCTCTGGCTGCTTCAGGTGCGTCTTCATGTGGTCGACGTTCTCTGTGTTTTTCTTTCACTCCATTCGTCGTCTTCTTCAATGCGTCACTGTAAGTTGGCTTTTGGGCTCGCTTATCCGTTGGAACCGGGACAGGCAAGGGGACGCGCACAACTTCAGGGTTTAAGGTGGCCGCGAACCCACGATTTTCCTTGCCATTTAAGACGTCCTGTCTTTGGATAACCGAGGCAGCCTTTCTGCGTTGACACCCAGAGAAGGTAGCGGCATGCTGGTTACCGCAGTTTGCGCACTTGGGTTCTTGCCGATTGGTGCAAGTCTTGTGGTGGTGCGGACCTGCGCACACTTTGCAGCGCCGTGGTCCACGGCAGTATTGCGCAATGTGTCCGTACCTTTGGCAATGATAGCACTGCACTGGAGGACCAAAATACTCATCAACAGTGTGACTTGTGAAGCCTAAGAGAACGCGTGTAGGCATTGGTTGGTCTGGGCGGAAGTGGAGGAGCACGCTTTCTGTCTTGCGGTGTTCCATGTTGCCGTCCTCTTGTCTTCTATACGAAATTTGCCGTTGAACAGAAATAACTCCAAGATTTGTAAAATAGTCTAGTAGTTCTTCGTCGGTATACTCGATCGGTACTCCTTTGATTTTTTCCAAATTCCGTGAGTAGGAGTGGGGTACACTTGTCGCCACTTCAATAGAGCAAAGGGTCGATATGGCTAGTAATCTGTTGGCTGCTTGCAGAGATGCAACACTCACGAAAAGGCTCCCGTCTTTGTTCATCCTATGTGAGAGTAGCTTCTCCTGTGCAACATCAATGATCTCTTTGGCCACTTCGTTAGGATTCACCCTCCACAAGGATGCATTGGAACTGTTGGGTTTGAAAACCACTGGAATGCCCGCAGGGCGGTTTTTCTTATAGTGGACTGGGGTAAAGGGCCGATTATCTTCATCGGCTTCCAGAACTTGCATGGGATCTTCTGGAGACTCGTCTTCATTGGAATGTAAAATAGCATCTTGAACGGAATAAGTAGAGGTCTTGTCATCATCATAGTCGTGATATGAGTCTGGGTCTGTACATCGTCTTTTAATAGGAGCTTTCTTGAGGTCACCGGGGATAAGGGTCGGCGGTGGTGGGGCGGTACATTGAGGTGGTGACTTGCCATGTGATAGACCAGGATCCCCTCTTTCGGGTGTTTCAGCCGGTGGCGGTTGGTCCATTGCCCAGGTCGTCGGTCCGGTGTTTACAGGGAAAGGGCGACCATGCGCCGCGTCCGGGACCTCGACGCTTGACGTCAATAAGAAAATCTGACTGGATAATATCACGAAACTTTGAAAAATCCTATTTTTCCAAAAGAGCAAGAAGAATGGCGTTGATTGCCTGAAAACGTCGTCGTCTTCCCCCTATTCTCGCTTGTGTTTCTTTCATCAGTTCCATTATAGTGATTCAACTTTCAAACAATCATTCTGAAGACCTGCGACCCAGATTTCGCCCAGACCCGGTAACACTAAAAAAGGTGAACTCCTCAAACCCTCCAAAACCACCATTTATTTTCTGTCTTCTGAACCCTTCATTTCACGTACTAAGGTATTCTTCTTATCCCCGCTTGACTCGTGGATCTGCGACTGGAACGCACTCCCAGATTCTTTGGTGACCGAAAAAGACACAAATTTGTTTAGAAATGTAAATATTTGTTTTATTGCAGAGGCAGCATTGATCGTTACGTGTGCACTTTTGAATGTTAGAAATACTGTGTCATACCTGCTCTTCTTAGCCAACGTTCTGTTTTTATCTTCTCTAAAATTAGTATAAATGTTTGTGCTGTATTTTTTACCTTGTAACAAATCTCCGCTCCTGTATTACATCCGCAAGGATGCCTTTGAGCTAAATAAATTAAATGAAATTAAATCACATTTCAAATATTTTGGGTGGTATGTTCCGCCCGCCGAGAGAAAACAAAAATTGTTTCAGCAAATAACCGCGCCCAGGCACTTTCTTACATGTCTGCTCCTATTCTCCCTTTTATGAAGGTCGTGCGGTCTATTGTGCTGGCGGCGAATCGTCAGTATTTTCCCACAGAAGGGGATAAGGATAGACTGGCGACTTGAATTGGAGTACCTATTTCTGAATAAGGCTTACTCGCACAATCCAATAAGGTAGAACTTTACTGGCTATTTGTCCTACGCCGCACCAGTGTGTACAGAAAAGTTGAACCCGCCAACTACAATGGTATGTCACATACCCACTGGAAAATTTTTAGGCAACCCTCATCAAAAGCGTCCGTCATATTCTTATACGTAAGTGCGAACAAATAGTTCGGTTAAAAAGCGCTGCCTGAATCCTGGCATCTACGTTAGAAAGGCAAAAAAACAATATCGAACTTGTTTTTGCAATCTGAAATGCTACGGACAAGAAATCGCACTTGAAATGTAGCGGGTAATTGCGCACCTGTAGTAGCAACTCCAGCCAAACACTACAATCTGATCGTTCGTCTGTATCGCGCTTCATATATTAAGCTGCAGCACGTTTTGAGCGTATTTCAATAAGTGGGAGATCTTCCTTTACCCCGCACCACGTGTTTGATGCTAGACTTTCTTCCGTCACTTTGAGTTGTGGTATTGGCAACTCCAAGGAAGGGTCCTAAAATTGCTTAAAAAGGAAAAGCCGATAATGATGAAGTGTTACTGCGTATACGCCATCATTAACAAGACATGCTGACTCGCGCTGTTGCCACAGAACTACAACTTAGTGCTACAAATGAGTTCAAGGTGTTTTTACCTTTACTGGAACATCGGTAAGTCATCGGACGTAACTCGTCCTATTTGATGGCATACAAAAAAAAGAAGTCCCTCGGAATGCTATAGAAATAATCAAATAACTCAAATGCTGACCGCGTTTATTGGGGCTACAGCCGTTTACGGTCACATTGATCGCGTAAAGCAAGATTTAGTCTAAAGGCCCGTTAACACACTTGCGACTCCTTAGGGCCGAGTACTTTAAAACCTTATAAAAATTTGTACGACGAAAAAACACAACATCACTCTGGCGCCATCTATCGGGGACCCTGAAACTGCACTTCACTAGAGTGAAAGTTTTGCGGTATTGGCAATGAGAAATGGTCGTCAATAACATTGACAAAAGTTTTTCAAACCAAGAGACAAAGAATAATGGGCGAAAAATATAGGAAATATACGGGACCGCCAAGTGTTCCGCGGCTACCCGATAGGTGGCAGAAGTGTGTTTTCTTGTCGTATGAGGCTTTAAGATGATTAAAGGCCCGCGGTCATAACAAGCCGCATGTGTGTGAACGGCCTTAACTGTTTTGTGGGTTTGTTGCAAAAGAGACGTGTAATGCAGTCTTTCGCCGGGAACATTCGTTCTCAACTTTGGCGTTATATTACATGTTGGCGCTCGAAAAGACATCGCCACGAACAACTTGACCGACACAAGAATACCAAGACTACCGCAAGGTTTGGACACTCATTCTGGTATAAAGAAGATGCTACAATAGAGTGCTTCAATGTTGCTGGGCTGGTGGCTCTTCCAAAGTAGGGACAACTCTGTCGTCTGCTAGCGTACCCGCCATCTTGCCTCCCAACCTATGGCACCGTTTGCGAGCTGTTTGCGCGGATATTGAGAATTACCACTTGTGAAATGACGCGAAATAGCTTTAATACCAAGCAACGTCATGCGTTCCATGAAGTATGTGTTTGCCATCGGCGCCAGTCAGGACGCAAGAGGCAATATGGTAACCGCGGTCAAGAAAAAGCGGCGTCGCCCTCCTAAAAAATATCAGCACTCTAGCAAGGCGCACCCAGCAAGCAACGCTGAGGAACTCTAAGCTACAACTTTGCTACAACTGACCATCATCTTCTTCTTCGCCCTCTGGATCCCCGATGAAGACGGCCTCGCTGGGAAACTGCGTGTCCGACTCCCGCCACAGCAACATCTCGCGTGTTTCCACGTCCAGTTTGCAGATCTGCAAGAAACATCGGACACTCAATCCCCCAACACACGACGCGTGCATTAAAACCGCAGCAGGGAGTTTCAGCATACCGCAAAGTGCCGTCCAAAACGGTAATTATACAGGCAGCTGGAGCTGGAACTTCGTAGAATGCTCTTAAACTCGCGCAATGATCGTTGTCGTGGTCGCCGTAGACTGAGGTAGCGCTATGCTAATACTTTCAATTGTTTCAATTATTTTATGGTTTAAAACGAACAAACATTGTCAATGCTCTTTAGAATTACATGCCCCAATATTTCCGTCATGCCGGTTTAACCCTAAAACGAGAGTGGTGACCTTTCCTCTACGATGAGGAAAAAGGGACATTGAAGACAAACACACAAGACGAAAGCCTCTTGACTGTTTGTTTTCAACGCCCCTCTTATCATAAATTAGAAACCAACACCGCTCAACCATCTACACTTCCTCTACCACTCGCACGATACGACACATCAGCCACCGTCGTGTCGCGCGTGTGTTTTTTTTATGCGTTAGCATTAGAACGCTCGTTTTGACGAAAACCCGGCGGTGTCTATCAGTTTGTCAGCTCCGTGAATATAGGAAGAAGGAAGTGGAGAGGGGGACGCGCGCGACGCTCCCATTGGTCCGAACCGCTGACGTCAGCACACGTCACACTCTCCGTCTCTCCCCGGCGCTGACAAACTGACAGGCACCGCCGGGTTTTCTTCAAAACGAGCATTTTTGTTTTCGTCAAATCTGCGTCGCACTGCTGGCACAGAGTCAGAGAGGAGGAGGCGCCGCGGCGCGGCGGAATGCGGGCGTCATTAGTTGCCGCTGTGCCGTCGACGGTTGTTCTACGCTTTGGGTTTCCGTCGCAGCGATGCGTAGGCTGTGATGCATGTGTGTGTAGTTAAAACGGTGGATGCGGTGTCCTCCACGAGTTATTTGAATGCGGTTCCTTCCCCAAGTGGTACGGATGTGGTTCTTTTCACGAGTCATATGGATGACCGTATCCAAGGGCGTTGACGTTCTCTGACAGGCAGAGTACGGGTGAAAAAATCAAAAAAAGGTCCATTGACGGCGTTTTAGGGAATGCGTTAGCATGACTCTTGGGAAACGCCACACACGCCCCCTTTAAAAAACGCTAACACTGACCATGTAACCAGGCCAAAAGGAGGCAGCAACATAAAAAGCCAAACGAAAAAACCAGTACAAAAAAAAACAAGGGGTCAGCGTTAGCGTTTCCCGAAGGGGGGCGTGTGTGGCGTTTCTCAGGGGCCATGCTAACGCATTCCCTAAGAATCTACCGATGAATCTTCCTTTTTCTTTTATAGTCATCCACCGATGAATCTTCCTTTTTCTTTTACATTCATCTTTTTTTAAAAGCTGTTACAATTTCATCCCCTGCTTAACCTATTCCAATCGGCCAAGTTCGCTGTGACTTTCTTCACCTCCATGTCTTCTCCTATTCGCAGGACGAGTGCGGCGTCTGAAATCAGTTCGTGACAAAACAGTATAGAGCAATATCATTTTTATACCCTTCACCTCCCTTGTTTAAACCAGACCTCAAATGGGTCAGAACAGTAGGTTAGAAATGTGTTGCTATGAGCTTGGTAATTGTTTACGGGAGTAAGGAGTCGTAGAACGCAATAATAAAATGTATTTACATATTAACAGAACCTAATACTGAAGGATATTCCTCGAGCGGTTTTGTGGTCCAGATCCTGATTGTGTCTCGTACCGTGCTTCTTGTGCATCTCATTTTTGATGGCTGCTGATTCTTTTTCAGCGCAGGCCCTACAAGCTCTACAGAACGGGAGGGGGAGACCAGATCCAAGAAACCAAATGGGAGGCCGCAATAAACTTTAAGTTTAAAAGTAAAGCCTTAATCGCCCAGCTTAAGAGAGTGGGATTGTAAGGTGTGGGATTTTCTGTTTGAAGGTCTGATTGGAGTAAGTGCATTAGTGTCTCCAGAGCTATTACCGCCTAACGCGAGTTACGGTCAGTGGACGAAACCTGCGACAGCTTTAGTTAGTCAGAGCTTTGCAAAACTACAGTATACAAAGGGCGGATGCATGCTCCTTGGTGACGAAGTTTCTGGTATTCATTTTCACACCCACCCATATCTAGTAAAGCATTCGAAAAGACGGTGAGAGTGCAGGCGAGCTGGTGGTAGCTAATCATGTCTTATTACACCTGAGACTGCGGTGGAAGAAATCGGAAGAACTTTCAGTAGAAGGAGCAGACACAGAGAACGCCTCTGTGTCTGTTCCTTCTACTGAAACGTTCTCTGTGTCTGTTCCTTCTACTGAGACGTTCTCTGTGTCTGTTCCTTCTACTGAAAGTTCTTCCGATTTCTTCCACCGCAGTCTCAGGTGTAATAAGACATGACAGCATTCGAGAATTATTGAGAATCATCCAAACGTGTGATATGTATATAGCGGAATTAAAGATATCGCAGTAGAACATTTAAATAAAGTTTAAATAGGGTAAAAATACGGATTTACTCAAAAATTGTTTATTCCTCACAGTACCGAAGGTGCCCATAGTGCTCTTGTTTACTACTATACAAGCTCACAACTAAGGCACTTGGCCAATGATTGAAACGCGGTGTCTGAAGGCACAGTGGTATGCGTGCTAAATGAGGTCAGTAATCTCGCTGCTTGTGAAAAAGACAAACTTATTAACTGATTCGTTAAAAACCTTAGAGCTACTGGCGTCTAGTATGACCTGTGGAAGCGCAGTTTTGAACGCCTTGTTCTGTTGAAGTAAACGTGAAAAGAACGGTAGGTGTAAGATGCGCTCGAACTTGAACATGTCCGCAATCAAGGATTGAACGGCACAGTCACTTGACTTCCAGCAGGTAACCACTAAAGAAGATGGTGCAGCGAGCGCGAATCTCGTTTGATTTTCCTCTCTTTGTCCTAGCACACCAGCCTCTGCCAATCGTTTGGTGGAAGGCACAGATGGCAACACGCTTAGGCAGCCTTGCGAGCACCGTGGATTTGTGCTCAGCTGCTTGCAGGAATCGTAATAGTACAATAAATATTATCTTCGCAGATTGAGGAAAGATAGAAACGATAACTGGTATCAAGTATTGATACCTATCATAAGGTAAGTACTTGTGACAGAGTTGAAAATACTGTAGATATCGATCGTAATGGGGCATGCCATCAAAATTACGCACGGCGGTCAGGAATGCCCGTAATTATTTAAACACATCCGTAGGAACTTCTGACCCAACCAAAATACTCGAGTCGCAACCGCGTAATTTTTTTGCTTTGTTTTTGTGTTGCTATTACTCACGGCATTCCGACACTCGCCGTGCCTCTCGAAGTTGCCGCTGCCGTACGTGTACCGGTACTGCTTGCCTTGGTACTTGGGATTGATGGTCGGAAGGTCGTATCCTGCAGAAACCAACCAGGAGAGAAGGCGGTCACTATGACAATGGGGATCCCCTTGCTACCCGAATCGGGATACTACTTGTAGAGGGTAGAGTGCGACGAAGGTGACATTGACGCATGCACTGACAATCAGGGTTCAGTCGACCTTGTCATAGGTCGAAGAGAACGTCGGCCGAGAAGGGGAACCGGACATCTTGACTATCTCAAGAAAAGACATGGTACACAAACCACAATGCATAATATACGAGTATATAGAACCACCGGTATTTACGTTTTCTCTGGCCTTGCTTCAGTGATACTGGCAATGACGTATTTCATGACCATTTTTTTTTTGGGGGGGGGGGGGGGGTATCAATGGCGCCGCATACATATCACCGGGAATTGAACTTGAGGGAAACAAGGCAAATGTCTCCTCCGGATCTTAACCTGCACGGAGAGGAACTGAAAGGGAGGGGGAGATGGGTGCTTACGTTGACGCCAGAAGACCGAGCTTTGATTGGAAGGATTAGTGGGTAGGCGCAAAGGCTAGCTGGCCTTTGTTTGTAGTAACTGCTTCCTTTCAACTAGAGGAAACAAGAGCTTCCTCTGCGCATCACGCAGGGCATGGCGCTCAAACGTCAAATGCCGGCGCCCCGTGTTTGAACGCCATACACTGTGTGAGGAGCAGACGACACTCTTGTTTCGCTCTGATTGCAAGTAGACAGCGGGTAGATATAAAGGCGGCTAGCCTTTGCGCCTACCCACTATTCCTTTCGATCATAAATCGGCGATCTGACGTCCCCCGTACGCTCTCACCTCTTCCTCTCCCTCAGTGTCCCTCCGTGTACGATTCCCTAGCCTTAAAAAGGCCACCTTGCATCTTTAGTGTAAAAAACACACACACACAGAAAGGACCGAGAGCTGACATCAAGGACGAGAAAGATCAGTAGTAAAGATTTTCTGACGCTTTTATGAACCTATTGCATAATCTGGGATATTCGCCTGCAGCTCTGCACGTTTCCGCTGTTTGCAAAAATCACAGTCCACACGTGCTTAACCATAGAGTCATTATAATGTACGCTAGAGGTTCAAATGGCGCTAGTGTACTGTTCCGAATTGAAGGAGACAGCAACCAGTCGGTAATTGACTTCCGGTAATGTATTTATATGGGAAAAAGCGAGTGCATTTTCTAACTGCGCTTGATTAAAAGAGCAATTATATCATGTATAATTCGTACGTACTAGGTAGATTGGAAATTTTCAAAGTCACGCGGACGAAATAATTGGTCAGTTACGGCGTTTTTATTTCAAACCCATGGCATTAGAAACGGTGCTAAAACGGCTTCATATATGTATTTACTTGCATTGTCAGACACTGCTAGCACTTACACGGCGTCGGCGCTTTCCAGCATGAGGGATATGCGTGCCAAACGAACGAAGGACATGTGGAAAACCCAGAGAGACCGCAAGAACTACGCAGTACACTAGATCAGTGACTGCTTGTGCATGCAGAAGATAAAAACAAGTTGAGGGCCACTTTATATAGTCCGATTTGCACTAAATAAGTCCTGCTTTATTCTTTCTGCTCATGAATATCTGCAACGATGCTTGTCCTGCGTTCAAAACATCGACGACAAACTCGAAATATTTGAAAATAGGGATGAGCCAGAGAACAGGTACCCGATAAAAGCTGCCCGGAATAGAAAATAATAAAACACCTTTCATAGACCACTTTTTTTTTTTTTTGCGTTTTGAATGTTTTTTAATTACTCGTAAAGATGAACGACGGGGTCATTTTCATATATGTGACAGGACCTGCATATCAGCAATATATAAGCATCACCGGAATGCCGGCCAGCCTAGAAAGCACTCTACATTTTTTTTTCGATTGTTACTTTCCTTAGAGTCGTTGCTCGTTTTTACATACCTGCTATGAAACCGAGGTTTGGGCCTGAAATATAGCGAAGTTTAACGTCGTTTACTGATAAAAACAAATGTTGTAACTAAAGCAATAACGATTTTACAATGCTGATAAAGGTACATACTCTTCGGTACGACCCAAATAATAAAAGTTATTCATGTTACTTTCAGGCGAAGAGACAAAATGCACCCGCGTTTTCACGCAGGAACGCACAGGAGCAACGCAAAAGCACACTGGTTACTGCCTGCTTCAATTCAGCTTCTGGAAGTCGCTTATACACTAGCGCCAGTTGAACCTCCAGAGTACATTATAATAACTCTATGTGCTAAACCACAGTCCGGCCAGCGCACGCTCGCAGTCATCCAGAACGTGCGCGTGCATAGCACACAAGGATAGCAATAAACCTTTTCCACGAGGGCGCAGCCATCTTGAACGTCGTCACTGCTGATATGCGGTAAAACATCGTTTTGATCACTCCACGCCGCTGGAAGGTGTTTACGAAAATTGTCTGATTGTCACACATTCTTGTTTTACCTCACCTGTATTTTCTCGCATATTCCAGGTTGAAATGTATTATTATTTTTTCGTCCCGCATACCAGATACGGAACCCACGTGACTGAGAACGACAGGAAACAGATACATCTATACGCTTTTATGGACGAGCTAGCCCGCGCTCCCATCTTTGAGACGTTCATTTCTAGCGCGGACGTTTGTTCTGCGGAAGTACGTTTCAAAGCAGAGACCAGGTGCTCTCGTGCAAGTGGCGTTCGCTGCAGCCTCAGCTTAAAGGGGTACGGAAAAGAAATGTTTGCATTTTTATTTATTTGCTTAGATGTGGTCCATGTTGTGCCGGCCGCCCAGAAACACTAGCCTATACTATAGTCCGTTGCAACCTAAGAACGAAGGGCGAGGGTAAGACGGGCCGGGGAGAAGGAAGCAGACGGAACGCTAAAGAGAGAAGGTTTCCCCCTCTCTTCTCCAGCGTTCCGTCTGCTTCCTCCTCCCCGGCCCGTCTTACCCTCGCCCTTCGTTCTTAGGTTGCAACGGACTATAGTCTTTCTGGGCGTGCAAAGACAGATATGCCAGAGTTTGCCCCGCATGCATGCCGCCACAGGACAGAACAGATGATGAAATATTAGAAGATTTTAGTCGACCGTACGCTATACTCCGTTCACCCTTAAAAAGAAGCTGAAGCGGTTCTGTGTATATTAGGAAAAGCACTTAAATTGCCTTCATTTGGTCTCCAGTATCACAAATATCGAGATTATTTTTAAATTTGGTGGACGGAGGCTCCAGAAAATCATTTTCAAACTACCGCTGAAGCACCTCCTTCCCGAAGCGTTACGCTCTAAAAGGAGTTTTCGGAATCTCCGCTCTCGCACATCTTCAGCGCCTATCAAAGCTATGCACGCGCACTCTCGCTATTTTCAAGAAGGCCAGAAAAAGATGTCACGAGTGGTGTCAGTGGGGGTGAATGTACCTGGCAAGCCTGCAAAATGAGGCGCTGTAAAACCCCTTTATGTATCGAAAATAGCTCAAGGTGCGCCGATGCACGAGGCACGTGCAACGTGCAGCCCTTGGGAAGATCATGGCGGCACAGCGCATTACTATACTCTGTTTCATACTTCGTGTGCAGCGTTGTCAAAGCCACTGGCGCGAGCACGGGGCTTGATCTTGTTTATCATTCGCACGCGTTCTCGCGCAAACAAAACCATAGATGAAGCCACGCGCTCGCGCCAGTAGCTTTGACAGCGTTGCACGCTAAGTGTGAAACGGAGTATAGCATCACTGAGGTAGATTTCGGACGCCATGTTCTTAAGGAGCGCGCGGCACGTGTCTCGAGCATTCCCACAACAATGAATGGCGCCACTTTTCCCAAGATAGAGGGGCTTTAAGGCGCTGCCCACACGAGCGACACGCGCTTGGCGGCCGAACTATCCTTTTTTGACGTAACTATGCTAGTCGAAGGTTCTTCGCGTTTTTCACGTTTAGTTACATCTTCGGGGAAAATGAACGCATATTTAGATTCACAGAATAAAAGTACTCTAAAATTCCCCTCTAACTCGTTTTTATTTTCTTTTTTTTTAAATTCACTTTATCTTACCCTTTAGCTGAGCAGTTAATGCCACAAGAACGAGAACTCAAGGTCACTGCTTTGAAGCGTTCTTCCGCGGAACGAGCGCTTGCGCTAGAAATGCACGTCTCAAAGCCAGGGGTGCGGGCTAGCACGCGCTTGTAACTTTGACTGCAGCCTCAGCTTAAGGGTGAACAGAGTATAGAGCTTTGCGTTGCTAGCAGGAGCTCGTGCCGTTGCTCCAGACGCAACTCACGAGACAGCTTTGTTATGTCACCACCGCCGCAATGCTTCGAGGGAACTTTAGTATTTTAGAACGTGCGACAACCTTGCTGGATCTGTGCGCGTGCAGAGCCCGAGACGGCTCGAACAGTCTCGGGCTCTGCACGCCTCGAGTGAACTAAAGTTATGGGTGCTTCGCTCACACGTCCATCGCTTAGTGAGATGGGTCTATTCAATTTCCCCTCTAAAGTTTAGTGAGGAAACTGAGCTGGTGTATAGGTCTCGTGGCGTCTGGTCACGTGAGGATAATTTCTTTTCTTTAAATTTATCGGAAAATACACGGAACGCCGGATAGACAGACGGACAATATGTTGGGATTGGGGGTTTCGTTAAAAAGCATTACTTGAATTTTTTAAGCCATTTTGGAGGCGCGCGTTTGTCAACAAGGTTATTTACTTCAATTTTTTTTATACCGATAAGGCGAGCCTATGCAACGCGCCTTCTCAGTATTTTCTTTTCTGCCTTGGTTATTTTGCAAACGGTCTATTGGCGCACGACGTTTACCTTTGTACCCCATCTCCTCGTGCGTCAGCCAGATGGTGGTGTTGTCTTGCCGGTAGGCACGGGCCTCCGTGTACTTGAGGCCCACGAGGTTGCCCTCCTTCACGCTGTTTGCCTTCGAGACAGAAAACGAGGAGGATTTTGAAATCATCAAACACGTGCCCGCTCTCGGGTCGGGAAAGCGAGAACTGCCGAGCAGCAAATCAAACTCGCACACCAAGGTGAAAGTCGGTGAAGGTCCGACTGTAGAGGCGACCAGTTATCTTCAATCGCCCTAAGAACTCTTCGTGTCTGCATTTTGTTGTGTGCTCGTTTTTATTGCGCAAAACTTAAAAGCCAGGGTACAATAACTTGCGGTGTACGCTTGCCAGACTATTGTAATTAAATTCGTGCAATGTTCTAAGACTTGTAATCTAGTCGCGTAAGGGAATAGCAAAACGTGACAAGTCTCGGCGTTTAGTGAGCACCATACATCAATTATCCATTCGAACAAGGTTGTGTGTTTCATGTGTTATAAGAATCGCAATCTTTTCACACTCTGACGCTTTTCAAAGCCAAGCCGTCAATGCCGTAATTGGCAGATTAATCCTGACAGAAGTGAAAAAAAATTCGGTTTCGAAGTATCTTCTTTGTATTTAGCAAGTTTTCTACTGATTTATATGGGTTTTGTGATAATCAATTATTTTAGCCGACTTCAGCAACCGGGCCCTTTCCTGCAACAAATGGATGTCCTAGAGTGGTGGGGTAAAAGTTGTTTTTGCACTTTCTAGTTTAAATACTTTTAGGCCGTGAATATCTACTTCAAGTAAGAGCTGCTTTAGGTCTGATCAGTGAATGTTGTTTACGCAGATGTTGTGTTTTTTTTAATAACTTTAATGTATCTGTCGGCTTATAAATTATGCCTTAGAATGAGCCAATAATAGGACATCAAAAATTCTAAGGCAACGTATTGTTCGTTTTATTATGGGCAGGATAAAGGTCAGAAGCATTTATCTCCTGCTTTATTCTTTTTCTATCTGATCCCCTAACAAAACGTCCAGTTGCCGTCTTAAATTTTTATAATTCATTATAAGGGAGTCGTGTTTGATTTTGACGGCATTGGAGATATTTTGGTATTTCTTCAGTATCATCTGCTCCTGAGAAAATACACGCACCTCGTCATTTGCCAAGCTGTTCACGTCCACAATGGAAGCGATCGTATACGATCGTCTTCGTTAGGAACGTGAACAGCATTTTCCATGTACGAGAAAGCTTGTTTTTCAAAACTTTGTGTCTTGCAAAATGGGCGGACAGTTATTGCAGTTACATTTTTTAGAGCATTTGGCAACATTTAGTCTTTTGTTTGTTTGAAGGCGTACTGATGGGACGAATTTATTTTTTATTCGAAGTGATCTTTGACAGTTTGGTGTTCCTCCAATGTTTACATGGTCAGCGGATTTGTGAGCCGAAGCAAACCAAAAACTGAAACCTGTAAGGGTGGCCTGATCTTTATCAATTTTAAGCCGGGTTCGAACTACTAGCTCGTGCTAGCGCTCTCATTGTATTAGAGAGATTTAGTAGAGCGTACGCCACGGAGAGCGGGACCAGCGGGCGCGTGCTGAATCCATGTTTCAAAGTGACGGCACGAGCTCCCGCTAGCAAAGCGTAGCTCTAGATTACGATCTACTAAAACTCTCTATGAACTGTTTGAGAGTGTAGTTTGTTTTAATCGTCTATTGTGGTGCTCTTCTTGTTCTCTACGTTGGCACCTCCTCCCCCTCACGTAATATTTTCTAATGGGCCTTTGAGGCATTATAAAATAAATAAATAAACAATTAAACAAATATTGCGATAAATAAATAAAAATAAATAAACGAAGAAATAAAAAATGAATGTATGTTGATTTTAGTATGGCATGCGGTACTAAGGCGATTGCAAGCACACCTTGCCAACCTGGGTGCCCTGTCCTTCGTTGAGGAGGCGCTCACGTACCTTGGCGACGGGGATGACGAAGCGCCGGAAGTGTCCCTGGTTGTCCGGGTCGAAGTCGGCCTCCCCGGACTCCCTTATCCTGTCGAGGTAGTAGCGGTCCATGATGCTGGCGTCCTCGTAGGCAACCATGTCGAAGACCACGTGGCCGTCGTCCTCGAACGCGTTCACCGCGTGGAAGAAGAAGAGAGGGTCGGTGACGAACCGCGTGCGCAGCACCGTGCCCGTGGAACGCTCCACCACCACAAACTTGGTCTGCGAGGAGGGAAAGACACCCCGAAAAAGGGAGCGGGGGAAGGAAAGGGATTGAAGGAAACATGGGCTCGTGTACATGGCTCGCACGTCGCGTCATAGCGTCCATGCTGGCACGTTTATCCCTACTTATTCTTGTCGAGAAATAAAAATTTGATAACGCCAAACGTACGTATCAGAATTGCACGCACTCGGCAGCGAGGCCATCACAATGGCCGCTGATATGGCGTCAATGTCAGTCATGTACTGCCTTCTGCTTTCGAAAAGTTTTGGCTCAAGTAAAGGCTCATTCGCAAAGCATTCTTTATTACGTTTCGTTTGATTACGGGAGATTACGTCTGCTTACATCCAAGGTCAACGAGCTTCGTATTAAGCGCGTCAGCCAATTCAAGGGCTAAAGTCACTGACAGATGCCTCGCCGCATCCTAACACGTTCGGCGAGTGCAGTGAAGACAGAGACAGCTAGCTTTAGGTCTACCCACTGATCAATTCAACCCGAGCTCGGTGTTCTGACATTCTCGCACGCTCTCCTCTCCTCCTCTCCCTCATTTTCACGGCGCATAGCTTCGCACGTAACATATGCAGAATGGATGTTAAGCAAACGCTCATCTGTAGATGGTCCTTCAGCCTTTGCACAATGGTTCGATAGCTCTTGCAGAAATGTAAATTGCGAATCTTTTGAACGCCTTCGCCATATACATTCTTGAAAAAAGTCAGAAGAAATAGTCCACTGGATGTAACTATAAAGCGGGAGTTGGCGCGTTAAGACAATTTTGGGGGGTTCCAATTTTTGTTTTTGGTTACGTGACACCGCCATTCCGAAACGTTTGTGACAATAACAAAGCAAAACATGCTGCGGTCTTGTTCTAATCCTGTCAGTGTCTGAAAAAAATTGATCGGCCAGGATTTCAACCTCTCGCACCCGAAGCGGAAATCCCGAGACAAACGAGACAATTTGTTTTTTAAAATTACCAACGAGTTAGCTGCACTTTGGACGAAATAATATCAAAAATATAAATTAAAAAAATTAACTGTTTCCTAATTTTTTGTGTAAACGCGGTATACACAATATGTGCAGTGGAAAGAAGCGGATATTTAGTATTTTAAAATAATTATTTAGTTACCACCAGTGGTAAATTAATTTATTAATTCGCCTAAATGTTTGGGACGATGTCTTGCCCGCAAGGTTTATAGAACATATGTTTCATTAACTTTATCGTGACGTAGGCCGGCTAAATTTAGCGACCGTGTGACCCTTTTTGGTGGCGCCCTTTGGATAACGCAACGCTTATATCACGGGAATCGGCCCTATAACAGATACGACGTCAAAACACCATTCAAGTAGATGGCGTCAAGAACAACTTGCCAGTAAGGGTCTTACTCTAATTTATCGCCGATGGACAAATTATAAAAGTGGTGGCGGCCAGCTGTTAAAGGAGCGATGCAACAATTTTTGTACTTTGCGCAAATACCGCTTAGAACAGATCCCTGACGTTAAAGGAGCGATGCAACAATTTTTGTACTGTGCACAAATACCGCTTAAATCGGATCCCTAACGTTAATGACCTATGAAACACGCGTTCGTTTTTCACCCGACGCAATAGAAGTCCCAGAAAAAAATTTAAGAAAAACGAGCGGCGTTCACCCCCTCAACTCGCAGCCAGAACAAGCGGCCACGTGATCTGGAGCCGATTATATGCCGCCAGTGTTGATCATAGCCACGCGCAGGGGTCGGCAAAGCGCAGGACACGCGCTGAGTTCCAGACATTGTTATGGCTCGGCTGTTGTCGTCGTTGCAGCGATTGGACACGGGTCACAACCCGAATGCTTCTCGAGCTAGCAATTGTCACGAGCCCAAGTCGAGTGCCCACGCAATGCTCGGGTCCAATCTATGAGCCGCATTCAAATATCGTCACTTGGGTGTACTGCGATCCCCGAGTTACGTCATCAAATTTTGCAAAGGAGAGATTGAATGAAAATGATCGCTTTTGTCCTTGAAATTACACCACAACAAAGGAGTTTCTTGGCCAATGGTGTTGCGTGTGAGTATCCTTGAGTCCGAGGTGTGCCAGCAAGCTAGTGTAGAGAGAAAAACATTCCAATTGAATATCGTTGCACAGCTCCTTTAATGACCCATGAAACACGCGTTCGTTTTTCACCCCACGCAATAGGAGTCCCAGAAAAAAATTAAAGAAAAACGAGCAGCGTTCACCCCCTCAACTCGCAGCCAGAACAAGCGGCCACGTGATCTGGAGCCGATTATATGCCGCCAATGTAGATCATAGCCACGCGCTGGGGTTGGCAAAGCGCAGGACACGCGCTGAGTTCCAGACATTGTTACGGCTCGGCTGTTGTCGTCGTTGCAGCGATTGGACACGGGTCACAACCCGAATGTTTCTCGAGCTAGCAATTGTCACGAGCCCAAGTCGAATGCCCACGCAATGCTCGGGTCCAATCTATGAACCGCATTCAAATATCGTCACTTGGGTGTACTGCGATCCCCGAGTTACGTCATGAAATTTTGCAAAGGAGAGATTGAATGAAAATGATCGCTTTTGTCCTTGAAATTCCACCGCAACAAAGGAGTTTCTTGGCCAATGGCGTTGCGTGCGAGTATCCTTGAGTCCCAGGTGTGCCAGTAAGCTCGTGTAGAGAGAAAAACATTCCGATTGAATATCGTTGCACAGCTCCTTTAAGTGACGACCGGAAAATGCATGTTTTTAAGCATGGTTCAGACGACAGCAACGCGGCCTACTGAGCACGGCGGTTCCGGTGAGTGTGCCGCTGCTGTCCTTCTGAACGCTCCCCGAAGGAGAGGCCTGATTCAGTCACGAAAGCGTAAATGTGCCTAGATGTGAGCAGCTCGCTACATTAACGGACACCTTGCTTGTACACGCGCATACTCGACGCGCACGCGAGGGTAACCTTGTCAAACTTGGTACAACACGTGCCTACTCAAACACGCTAATACATTGCAGTGGTCCGACCCCTATACTAGCAATGGCAAAACGATCATTTTAGAGTTGGGACCTTTACTTTTATCTGTCAAACTGTTCTTGAAAGCCGGAGGACGGTGTCTGTGTACTCAACCGAATGGAACCTAAAATATTGGGGTACGATGTTTCCTTATCTTTGATGCCCTGGAGCGCGAGAAAGAACGCCCCTCAGCTATAGATAGCTTGCAAGCGTCATCATTGCTGTGTGCCGACGGTTATTTGTACTTCCTGTCTTTTTCAAAACTACCACTTCTGCAGTGTGAAACGAACATGGCGAACCAAAGCTCGCGGCGCATCAAATACTGGCGTGGCCGCGAATGACGTCACATGCACGCTATGTACTATATATAGCCACTAACATTGTGAGAACGGCAGGGAGGAGCTTCAGTCGTCCAGCCTCCTACAACGTTTCGGCGACTCGTGCTCCTTGAGCTCACGTGCGCAGCCAAAAGACGGCGAAAGTCATGCAGCACCTGTTGGACTCCGGGTGTTCAAGAGACACCTTCTGCAGCTCTCAGACTGTCAATGATTATGTGCCGAGAAAGTGAGGGAGAGGGGGAGACGAGAGCGTGCCGGGATGGCAGAACGCCGAACTTTGGTTCTAATCATTCGTGGGTAGAGCCACTGAATGTTCCCAGAGAACCTGAATTCCGTTCAGTCCGACTACCGGAAGTCAATCCCGCAGAATCCAGTTCTGATTGGCTGGTTTAGCTCGTGGCGGAAGTTATCAGTCTGTCATTTTGTGGATCGGCGCAAAACAACGAAAAATTTATATAAACAGCTTTTTGTGTTGCCCCGGATACAGCGTGCGCATGGGTGCGAGCTCTGGGCATCGATGAGTTAGGACCACGGTGTAAGATATACTCTTTAGGTGTGGACACGGCGGGGCTGAACGCGCGGCGCGAGGAATTGAATAGTGTTCGTTCGACGGGCATTAGAAAGGCTGCATTATTCCGCGGCCACCGTGCCCGCGGCTGACAGTGTCGCCGGCGGCCAAACGGCGAAACTGCGTGACAGCGAAAAAAATTATCTCGTTGCCATGACACCCTGGTACACCGTGGTCTTTTTGCACGAGCGACAACTTCGCTGGAGCTCTGCGCATGTGGAGCATGAGGCGGCACGAGCCGTCTTTGCCGTGCCCACGGGTCGACGAGTCATCTGCCGGCGCCGCTTGAAACCACAGTGAGAGAGAGAAGGAGAGAGAGTGAAAAGCGAACTTTATCTGCACTGCGCGAGGAGCGCGCTGTCCTCTCCTGAAGAGAAGTCTTACACCGTGGTTAGGACCGAACGGAAGGTGGGTTGATTTCTTCTAGATTTCTTTTTTAGATGCGGAGCATCTCTTGCTCGGTTCTATGTCCCGCGGCGTCGTAGTCCGCACTCACACTACGCATGCGCAACTCTCCTCCTTCCCTCTCCCCAACAGCTGCGCGTTACTCTCTCCGCTCTCTCTCCCTACCAGCTGCGTGCACTTCGCGTGCGTTCGCTTCTACTCACACCGCTCGCGGATGCGCAACTCTCCTCCTCTAGTCTCCTCTCCTTCAAGTGTGAATATAAGCAGCGGTAGGGGCGCGCTGCGCGCGTACGGGAGGAAGTGGCCGAGTGGGCTAACGCGTCTCAGCTCGGAGCGTGGAGCGAAAGCTTGCGTTGGGAACCTCCTGGGTTCGATCCCCGCCGCCCCCGTCCGTTTCGATCTGGATGAGTTTCGTACCGGCACGCGTTCGTGTGATCACTACTGCGTGATGCACGTTAAAAACCCCAGGTTAGCGGTTGTACTGCACTGGCTAAATTTCTCATCTACAGCTAAGAGACCGATTACCCGTTGAGGCGCACCTCCATCAAGGCTGTATAAACATAAAGAGCAAACCAATTTTGCGCGCGTTCAGTTCACCCGCTGTTGACTCCACTTCACTCCGTTCTTCCGATGAAGTGTGATGGAAGCAACAGTCCCGTCAGTTAGTGGGTTGGCGCAAGCAACAAAATCACACATCGCGTGAACGTTGTTGGAAA